GTATGGAACAGAAGATTTCCCTTGTTTTCTGCCATGGTTGACATGAGTTTGTGAGAGCATTCCTTCCCATACCATTTCCAGTTAATGTACCAATATTGATGATATGTGCAAGTTCTTACACTTTTCTAGCGTAGAATCTTCTGTATATGCCACAGTCTTACCATTTTTATCTTAGCCTTTTCTTCGTATTTGCTGGGATACCTTTGAGACGAGTTTCTTGTCTTTCAGGTTTTCTTTGATCATTCTTAAATTAGAAATAGATCCTTGAATTTAAGAAATTTAAGACTTCTTTCACTAAATTCCATTTAATGTGTCTGTAACTGTTTATAATTCCTTCCTTCCAACTTAGTACAAATGCTAATGGACTACCACTCCCACAAACCAGTAGAAGTAATTTAGTATCTTGTCTCCTTTGGGATAGCTTGTAGATCAGAAGTGATTTTTTTTACCATTATTGATGGAAGAAACTCTAGGCCCTATTTTCCTAACAGTAAGGACCCACAGCAGATTTTCTTACGCACATTCAGGTACCTTTGTGAGTATGGTTTTGAAGATTATTATAGGATGTAAAGTTACGTAATACTATATCTGAAACTAAAATTGTGTCCTACTCTTACATACCATCCTCATAAATATGCATTGTAATAAGAAATAGATCTCTTTGTAGTATTTATAAGGAAGTTTACTTAAAACTCACTATATATAAGTTCTTTCATTGCTTCACTCCAAGTTTTCCTTAACATTTATTATTACAGTTATTCTTACAAAAATCTGAATTTTCCAGATTTTTTCTGTTTCTCATTCTCTATGTTTTTAGCTTTCTGAGTGTTTCTAGATATATTTTTATTATATTAATATATGTGTAATATGTCTACAGATAAAGTAGACGGGCATTACACAACATTTTACCATATTGGAACCTGAAACCTTTATGAGCACTTTTCATTCTATTCTAAGTGAGATTCTTAGTATGAATTCTGATATGAATTTAAATTGCCTTGTGTCCATGTGTGAGTGTGAACACATATTTATTTAGTATCCATTTGCCATCTGAGTTTGATTCGTTAGTGTCAGTAATGCAGTTGGTATAAATCAGGTGGGCATCAGAGCAAGACCAAGCTCAATGTAAGGAACATCTAAAAGGTAACTAGGAGTGATTAATGTCTGTCACAACCCTAGACCTTTTCAAGATATTGGAGGTAGGAGGTAATATAAAGTGAGAACTGTTTGGAGACTGGAGCTCTTGAGGTGTGAATAACTTAAAAAGGAGAGAAAAATAGGTTAATTACAAAGATAAATGAATAGTAGTGATTAATTAATGATAAGATGGTGACTATTCATACTGGTAGGCAAAATGAGCACCGTGGAACTGTAATTATACTAGTGAGTATAAAGACTGTGACAGGAAAGGTGGTAGAAGACCGAGGGCGGTATGTTATATGCAATTTTTAACATGAATATCTGCCAGAGAAATAATGAAATGAGTAAGTCTTGGGTGCATTTTAGAACCCTACTGTAATATTCATTATAGTCAGTATTTGATCCCCGAGGGCTTTATAATGTGAACATGAAGGAAACTAAAGGAAATAAGCAATTTTATAATGAGACTTACAACTATAGTAGTTTAAGAAACTCTTCTGTGGCTGTCTGTGCGCCTCTTCTTGCATTTCCAGTCATTTAAGAGAGTCCAATGTGATGTTACAGGAACAGCCAGAAGGATCTCCTGGGAGTAACTCCCAAATCAGTTCATTTACTGTAAAATCTTGAGTGAAATTTTAGTCAGTCCATTAGTCTTAATTAGTCTTTCAGACTTCTTAAAGCTACTGGATTCTGGCAGCAGAACACAATGGAGCAAACATCTATTTGTTAAAGTTCTTTCACTTTAAAGTTAACTGTATCTCACTGGAACCAGAATTTAGGCATAATTGCTCTGGTAGTTCTGCTCTTTTGGGCTGCTTTTTTTTTTTTTAATATAAAAAAGCAAAAAAGCCTTTTTATCAAGATCTGTCTCCTTGTGGAAACATTTTTCAATATATAGCAGTTAAATGGAGAAAGAGTGGTGAAGCACTGGTGATGGTGACATAAGCCTTCAGTATGTATTAGTAGTTGGAGTACATTATGTCAGGATGTTCTGTCAGGGAATGCCAACAGGGGAAATGCGATATAAAAGCAATTTGTGTGTAGTGGTGGTGCTGAATATTTGGGCTTATGAATTTGATAAAATTATAAACAGAAATGTGACTTTACCTTTTCGCACAAAGGTTTGGATAGTAATGCAAATTAATTAAATATAAGCATCAGCTTATATTTATACCTAATATACCTAAATAGACATTCAGATTTAAGGTTCTTCATCTGAAACCCCAGATCATAAGGGAAACCTTCAGTAATCAATTTCAGTTTGTAATACCCAAGTTTCATAACCTCTTTTTTATTGTTAATTGCTTTCCAGCATAATGTTCACAAAACTATATATATAATTAGAAAAAAAAAAATCTAAATACAGTTCTGCTCATAGATGTTTTACGTCTGAATTTTGGGGCATTTTGTCATTTCAGGTGTGCAATTTTTTTTTGCATTTTCATTTCCTATTTTGTGCTTTTGTGTAAACAGAGGTAGAAAGAATTCCACCTCTGGCTTGGTTTGCGTAACTTAGAACTGTCTTCTTTCAATCTTCCTAACAGCTAGAAGAACTAAGGAAAGCTGTCTGTGTCCTTTCTGGAGAATATACGAGAAGGAGGGTAGTGTGCACCCTGGTTTACCTCACAGACCCAGTTCTCTGATATATTAAGTGTATTAAACTGCACTGTATATATGTATATATGCATTAATGTATACTTGCATATGCATTACTAACTTCACAGTAAACTGAAACGAAGTGGTCTAGTGGTCTGTAAATGTAGGGGTGCACCTAATTTATAATTTGTCTTCCATAAAGTGCAACTTCTCCATTCTCAGTGTATAGCAACTCCTCCTTTCCTGTTTTTTTTTTTGTTTGTTTGTTTGTTTTTTTGTTTTTTTTTTTTTTTTTTTTTTTTTTGTTTTGTCTTAATAATGAATCTCCAGTCTGGTCTCTCCTGTCTTCCAGTCTTGTTCAGTCTCTTTTTTATCCTTTCCACGATCCCAGAATGTTCCTCTGTTTCTCTTATAATTCATCAAGGACTGAAGCCTATTTCTGCCACTTTGCGCTTTCTGCACTGACTGCATGTTATCCCTTCATCTGACAGTACTTGGTGATTTTTTATGTTTTTGAATGACAGAAATCTGTTTGACATTTCTGTTTTCTTTGGCAAACCTATCTTTAATTTATAAGCCATAAGTATAAAACATATAGTCTAAAATTATTTGGTTTTAATCATTCAAATAGAAATAGTTTTCCTTCTGGTGGTACAGAATGCATGTAGTTCCTTACTGAGCCTTACTAAAATGCTTTAGTGAGAATTTTAAATACGTCTCATTCATAATGGAACATTAACCATTATGTTCTATTTAAGTTCATTTGTTGCTTTGTCACAAGACTGAAGAATTATTTTTTAAAGTATGTAGAATCATAGACTAAAGGAAAAATCCAAATGAAATATAGCTCTATAGTTGGTAGCTTTTCCATGACTTTCAGTAATCTATTCAGATTGCCTATTAAATTTTCATAGATAATGACTACTTTAAAAATATAGCTTTATTTTCTGCCTGTCCTTGTTATGTCATAATTTTCTGAAAAGTATTACAATAAGAGAAATTCTCCGTAGACAAAAAACACTACAGAAGACAAGATAATTTTTTTTTCCTCCAGAAAATATGAACAAAAACATACTGACAAAAAAAAAAAAGTAACTTTGAGAAGGAAAAAAAATGGTCCATGCATCTAGTGGTTTTACTGTTGCAATGAAGAGCTTTAGATTCAAGTGTTCAACTTGGATACTTGACAGGCTAGCTGTCATTAGTAGTGAAATTAATAAATAAGCTGGAAAAAAAAATTGAGCCTTTCAGACTTGGCTCATTCTTTCACTCAAAACTCACATAAACGACATAGAACCAACTTTGCTATTTAATGTAGTTAGAAATTATAGTGTGCTACAGTACTACTTGATATCCTGAAAATATTTTTTAAAGGATTCTATGCCTGAAGTAGAAGATCCTCATTTGCAGTCAGATGTTCACTGCAGAAATTGCAGTATCAGTTTAGAACATTGTCACTAAGCACCAGTTTGCTCCATCCAGTGCCAGAAGTAACACAATAGGGTATGTAAGCATTCATGCAATCCATCTGCTGGCATTCTGTACAGCCAGTAATTTAGGAAGATAATCATCAGGTATGGTTTGTAATGCCTCATGCTTAAATGTCTGTTCCATGAGCAGATTATCATGGAGTCTGTCTGTAGCAAACTTATAAGAATGATGAAGAAATGAGGTACAATTAAAAATACTTTCAGTCTATCCTGTAGGGTACAAAATCTGAAGTAGAAATTACAGGGTACAAAATCTGAAGTTCAGCATAATAAAATTGCACTTGTCATTTTATTGTTCAAACAGTTGCTATGCATGCCATTGCATATGTGGCAAAATATGACATATCAAAAAGTATGGTTTAATATCACAAGGTGTAGCAATTGATGTTAAAACACTTCTGATTTTGCTTTGCTGTATCTAGATAGATGACAACTGTTGATTTCATTGTTATACTTCTAAAGAAAACATACATAAAATATTTATGGCATGACTGTGCAACTCTACTCATATGCAAGTAGTTCCATAGTCTGAGTTACTTCTACTTGAGTTGACAAGGGACTTCAAAATTTATACTTGATATGGTCTGTATATGTTACCTCTACTCTTGCAGTATGTACTTGTTTCATGTACCTCAAGGGTAGGACTTACCAATAGCAAATTTAATATTGCATGTTACATTTCAAAGAAAGTAGAATGGATATTGTTATCTGTAGTGTTCTTACAAAGTTACTTTCTTTTGATTATTTTTCCTTTTTGTGAATTCTTCTCACCAGGTATCTTCAGATCTTTCAATGGTGGGTGGTTCACCAAGTCTTACTGTGGAACCAGGTGACACGGTCGCTTACACTTTGAGTGTATCTCCATGGAGACGAGGAATCTTTCAAGGTACAATGTAGAACTCTGATATCCCTGTAAATTAACAGACTATGCCTGTTTACATTTAATGTTTTTTATTCAACATAAGCTTCCTTCTGGAAGTAATACTATAATTATTGGTGATACTGGTTTTTAAGCTGGCTCATATTTTTTAGTTGTAAAGGTATATTACTGCTAAAAATGTGGTTAGTACTTCAAAAATGCCAACATTATGTTCAGCTTCATGTATTTAATTGATCCCATGGAAATTGTCTTGATAGCAATTCATGTGTTTGAATTATCACCAAATGCTTGGGTATAAATTTAATTTTCCCAAAAATGTTGAATAGCTGTAGTTCTCTTAGCACTGCTAGAACCAAAGATTTAAAGGCAGAGGCCAGAATTTGACTATTTCCCTTGATTAAATTCTGATTTGTTACCCACAAGGCAAGAGTAAATACATAGAATATAGTGAACTTCAATTCTTTACTTGGTACTTTAAGTGTATAAAGGCTATGAATGTCTAAAATTAATTGCAAATAATTTGCATCAGTCTATGTTTATGCTGGTATTCTTATGAATAGTAGCAAGTACTGTTCATTCTTATGAACAGTAGCAAGACTCTTGCTTGTTTTAACTAACATCAGTATGTTGTGTTGAATGTTTTGTCTTCTAAAGATTATTTAAAAATAAGTATTCATTTTAATAATTCATTTTAATAATTCAGACTTCATAATTTTCAAATGCTTATTAATGATTCTACAGTTCTAAAATCTTACAAAATCTTAAAAGCACTATATGAGAATGTGGCTGTACAATCACTTTTTTTCTCCCATGTAGAACAGGTGTTGTTACTCATAGCAGAGCAAAGTTTTGTAGTGTATGAGGAAGGGAATTATGGAAACCAAGGAGATCATCTTTTCCTTAAAGAAACTGAATAGTGCTCAGGAAACCTAGATTTGAACTACTTCTTAAACAAAAGGATTCCTCATACTGAACAAATCTCTCAATACAAAATACTCAGTGCATAGTTTTGATTTTGTGGATCACTAAGTGCAAATACTTGTTTCTGCTACCTTCTTAGACAATTGAGATTAATGACACCTGTTCGCTCAGCACGAAAAAGCCATTAAGTATTGTCTGTGAGGATGCCAACCTAGTTTATTATTTTCACCATTTTGGTTTTATTATCTGATGTGTAAAACATAGGTAATAATACCATCTCAATTTACAGGTGATTTGTGAAAATAAATTAATACTTGCAGCAAAGCTTGGTATCTTCTTGCTAAATCTAGCCCTGAGACAAAATTCATTTTCTCTGAGGAGGAGTCAGCTTCTAATGGAATTTGTGACCATCAAAACTGTTCATCAGAACATAAGGGTACACTATATTTTAACTTACGATTTTTCTTCAGGCTTTAAAGATTTAAAGATTCTCTCCTTCTCACTTATCAAATAAACAATTCTTTTATACATACTGAAAGTTTCAGTAGAAGATGTTCCGAGGGATCTGTCATTCAGCAGTTTAATGCCATGTGTTAAAAGCCATACCTTCAAAGGGAAAGAGATGGCACATTTGGACTGTCATCTCCTATGTTCTGTCATTCCTAACTTCTATTACAATGGTTTCCGTTCTACTTGGAAGTATTACATGTTAACTGAGAGAGAAAGAGTACAGTCAGTCTCCCTAACCTGACAGAATGGCTCAGAAGCTGGATAGTCACATATGCTCTTTTTTTTTTTTTTTCTTTTCTTTTTTTTCCCCCAGAAAACTGTCCATGTATTTTATACCTTCAAATAACTTGATAGAAGGCTGGTAACTCTTTGAAAAGATGCAGAGCCTAGTTATCTACCATCCCCTCTCTGCACTCTCTGGCTCAATGCTTGCTTTAATCAATCACTGCTTTAGGATTTCAAGTTCATTCTTTTCCTGGAGCAGGGACACTTTCAGTTACATCGCATAAATTTTTAAATGTACTCTAATCATTCAGCAGATGTAGGAAGGAAGAGAGGTGGAGGAAAGAAAGGCCACTATTGTGGGTTTGACAGGCAGAAGATGATTTTGCTGTCCGATGTGGTAGGTAGACCTAACTACCGTATGTCCTATCCAAGGTAACGCCGGTTAGGAAATGCTCAGTTTATGGCTTCAAGTGAGATGGAAGCCAAACTGCTTCATACTGTGCAAGTCTGGGAAGTCATATTTGTTCCCCAAAGCCCAATTTTCACCTTTTAGGGAAGTTAAGTGGAAATGTCAAAATGGAGTAATATACGAATTTTTGGTACTTGTAGGAATTTTCAGCAGCCAACCTGAAGCCTGATTAATAAATAAATTTGATCCACTAATAGATACTTTAGTGCCCATGAAAATGATGGAAAATTTATGAATATCTTAAAATTAGCAGATAAACTCAGTTTAAAAATGTGTGCTATCTGCAGTGAAAATTATTATTTTTATTGAAATGCTTTGACTGATTTAATTGAGTAGCTCACATTAAGTTCCTTGAATAAATTACATCAAACCAGTTACCTTTATTGATCAAGACTTTAACCTCAGTGTTATTAATTCAGTTTGTTTGAGAACTGTTTTCCATAACGAAAACAAGCTGAGTGTCAGCAATTATAGCACAATTCTTTACTGATTTTTCAATTATGCAATTGCTGGATTATCAGCAGAGTGGTTTAGCAATTTAAGTTACCATAGTTCTCCCATTACCTCTTGAAATATTCTTCAGCATTAGTAATTTACAGTTCTGGAATTTTTCAAGCATTCCAAGATTTGCCACAAATAATTATTCAGAGATCACGTTTGGCGCAGAACTTAAAATATTTGTTTTAATATATCCATTCTTACTGATGAAATAAAAACCTTTAAGCTGTGACCACTCATGCTCTGTCCCTTTCTCTCAAACACAGTGTAGTATTCTGAAATACAGACAATTGGTAAAGAAAGCCTTCCACTGTCACTGGAAGCAATGACTTTAAGAAAAAATTAGTTAAAATTTAAAATGAAGTGAAACAGAATATTCTCTACTGTAAGGAGTTTTTCAGATTTATGACTTTTGTGCATTTCAGCATTTACTCAAATATTTTAATCAACTTTAAAGCTATACTTTTTCATTTTATTTTGCTCATTTGATTATAATTGTTGATATGTCAAATACACTACGATAGTATTTTAAATTAATGATAATATTAGTAGCTTTTCTTGCATTTCTTTCTCTCTAATATTGTGATGCATTAAATCAAAATTATACTTGTTTAATATATTGAGACATAAAGTCAGATTAGTTGGTCAGTATTCTTCCTAAGAAAATGCTTTCCCATTTTTCTATTAGGTATAGTGCCATCAAAGTATGTTCTCTTCCATCAATACTTACATACCTTGACCATTTTCTCCAGACTTTATTCCTCTGAGCTTTCTCTAATGATTTTTTTTTTTTTTAATTGTATTTATACATGTACCTTCCCTCTGAAGACTTTAAAAAAAAAAAAATCAATAGTTTCTTGAAGTGGCAATCACTGTCTAGCTTATTCAAATACCACTTCTGGCTTTGATACTGTCATCAATTTTTAGGAATTTAGAGAAATTTTCTATTAAAATATTTTTGGTTGTTTGTCCTTGTTTCTTCTTTTATTTTTTTTTCTTTTTTCTTTTTTCTTTCTTTCTTATTCATCTTTTTTTTTTTTTTTTTTTTTTTGTATTAGGGTAGCATAGATTTTATTTAAAAAGGAAACAAAATCTGGAAATCCAATATTTAATATTATATTGTTCTTTTCTCTGTATTTAAGTAAATACCTACTTTAATCTCTCTTCCCTTTCTTTTCTTTCCTTTCTTTGCTCCTCTCCTCCTCTCTGCTCATTTCTACTCCTCTCCTCTCCAGCAATCTGCAGATCATAAATCATGACTCCTTGTAAAAATTCAGTCTAGTATTTCTTAGCAGATATAATTTATTAGTTTTTGTCATGTCAAAATTGCCACCTGACATATTGAGCCCACTGTGAACAAATGTTGCTCTTCTAAGGCTTCTGAAACAGTATTGTGGTTCTCCCCCTCCCCCCACCCCATTTCTTTCAGAAGTGATATCCTTCTAGCATACTATTAACAGAACTGTAGCTATGAGGCCATTTTATTAAAAAAAAAAATATATATTTCTTGAAGTGTAAATGACCCTGGTTTATATTGGTGAATGTACAGGAATCTTGATCAGTTGCTGGTACTAAAGTCACTAATGTGGCTTCCTGAGCCAGGTGTTGTGACCTGTGTGGTGCTATATCTCCTCACTGCTGCCCCTTTTTCTAGATCCCATGCAAAACTTTCTTGGTTTGGTCTGGGGCTTCTCTTCATCCCTTTTGACTTCTCCCACCATCTTCTTGAGGCTCAGGATGTATGTCAGTGCCTTCTTTTCATATGTACCTGCAGATGGGTAGGGTATACACAGTTACTATTTCCCTCAAATGCATTAATACTCTTTTGGCAAACATATTCTGAAACTCCTCTATACTTACATACAGTGAGGAGGAGCACATTGTAGAAAATCACCTCAGGAAGAAAATGTGAAAATGCAACAGCTCCTTGATTCGGCTTTAGGTGTTCTTCCTATTAAGGTGATAAATTCAAGTAGTCAGGGAGCACAGCGCGTCATCTATTACCACTCACCTATCCCTTTCAAAGATGGAGAATGAAAAAATGCCATTAAATGTAGGTGTTCTTAAATCATATTGTTCTGGGACTTAAGTAAAATTATATTGATTCTTCCTTTCAAATTAAAAAACTCTACGACGAATAAATTTGCCAAACTGTTAATAAGATACAGTTGTATAAATTCCATTTGAGAGATCCTTTCACATAAATTCTAAGGATCTTGAACGGGAAAATTTTGTACTGTATAATATCACAAAATAAGTCACTTCCTCAAGTTAGTTTTTCATCATACATAGGAGGTAAGAATTAAACCTGCAAAATATATTTATTTAATCTTTGAAATTCTGCAGAATGTACTGAAATACAGAGGGACAGTCATTTAGATAAGAATAATATTGATATTCAGCATTTCTAAGCAGTTGTGTTGATTTAAAAGTCTGTGTCAGAGGCATGCAATATAACAAAAAACCTGCTCATTCAAAAGTATATAAAATGTTCTCAAATGATATTAGTGTTGTTTAGAGGAACCAGGTGCATACTGGATTTTATAATATATTTTATACTATCAAAAAGAAATTATGGTTTTAACTGTGAAGAGGCTTTTCACTGCAACTTAAAAATCCCGTTTTTACAATCTCTGTGTATTTTGTCTTCTATAAATACTTGATTTCACCTTACAAACAACACAGAAATGTATGACATTTTAAGTGTTACATTTGTTGTTTTATAGCAGCAGAATGACACAGTGATTTAAAAACAAACAAACAAAAATAATGGAGAAACAATCAAGTCTATGCATAGAAATTTGTGCTGGAAAAAACAAAACAAAACAGTATTATTGTCTACCATATATGGTCATCTTTGAAAAGTGTATTTCTTATTACTGATTCTTGGTTCAGATTAAGTGGAAAAACACTGTGGGAAGAAAAATGGTTAATTTCCTTGGACTCACTTAAGACATTTTTATTACCTTAAATTAGAATTGGATGGCTGACACCTGGAGTAGAAATTTTACTTTGTGTTTTATTAGTTTTGAACTGAGGAAATACTCATAGGTGTCTAGCTGTCTATTTTATAGAGCTAATGCTCTATTATCCCCAGCTAATTTAACATCTGTTATCTATTTGTTTTAGGTGTAATTTCATTTGTTGCTGAAGATGAAGACCAACAGCAGTCTCAGCATAACAGCTCACCAGAGAAGACAGATGGTGAACAGGCCCTTCAGAAATTGTCAACAGAGACACCACAAACTGTTGATAGAGCAAACACAGGTATGTTTGTTCATAAGGATAACTTCATTATCTATTTATATAAACTTATATCTTTATTTATTTTTAAATGTATATATATATTTATTTCATTTATTTATTTAAATGTATATTTTATTTATTTTATGCCAGGTCATATACCTGTAAGAACTGTAAAGTCAAACGCTTATTGCTGGCATATATAAAATTTCTCCTTTGTTGATTTTTGACACATTTTAATGAATTTAAAGCTGATCTCCCCTCCCCGCCATGTCTCTGAACATCACTATGGTAAAGGCACAATATTTGTTAAACGTTGTCTTTTAGAAGTAAATAATAATATTAACAGTGCTGATGTCACAGCAGGCAGTTGCTGAAATTCACAACACTCCATTCCATTTATAGAATAAACTTTCTTTTAAGTGCTAGTTGTAGTTACTTGTTTGGTCTTTTACAGTGAAATCTAGAATAGATTTTTCTAAAAATACCTGATTACTTTCAAATTGGCATCTCATAACTTAGTATAAACAGTTTCTGGATTACTTTGGGAATTTTACGTGCTCCAGATGGATCGAAGTTTGTGATTAGAAATGTGCACACTGAATAATTCTTTTATTTGTTTGTTTCTAAACCAATATCTTTTGCAAGTAAAACTTTAGTTATAGAACTGTCCATTTTATGTTTTTAAAACTTAATCTGGAGCGTATTTAAATTATCAAGCTTTATGTTAGATAAGTGTATTAGTCACAGGGAAAGCTATTGGGGAAAATTCTTTTTAACCTACATCAGGTGGTGTCTTAAGAAAGATTTAGTTTTAAGGAAATTGGGAAGAGCTTGCAGGTGAAGATCTCTCTGCTTTCTTGACAGTTATATTTTCATTTTAATGCAGTTTATCTATTTTTTTTAATCAAAAACTAATTTAATTATTAATAAAATAATTATTTAATTTGAGTTAGTCCAGTGTGAATGTATTTAACAAAATGTAGACACTCAGAAGTTAATATCCCATCTCTGATATGAAGCAATCCCAAGAATTTACAATCTGCATAGATGAGAGAGACAGGAAGAACATAGAAGCTCAGAAAGTCATTCTCCCTGATGACACAGTAGCTTAATGGTCAGAAGTATTATAAAAATCCACTTTTTTACTCAAAAGTCAGAGCAATGGATATGCATTGTCTTTTTAATTTACCAGATTCACTATCACATTGGGTTTCACTAAATATATTGTGTGAATTTTTAACTACTATTTTTTTATTTTTTTTTTACCCAGCTCAGACTGATGATGTACTTAACTTTGTGATGTTTAGTCTACTTTTTTTTTTTTTTTTTAACATGTACAATTAAAACTAACTAAAGATAGTAACATGTCTTCTGTGGTTATGTGGCTCTTATACAAAATTAGATCTTCTAAAATGTTGTTTTGTCAATATTTGACAATACAACGTGAGTTTAAAATAGGAAAAGGAATAGAAGTGGAAGAGAATGATGCAGAAGGGCTACATCTATAATTCTGAGGTTAGTCTCCTTTCCAAAAGAGACAGAAAACGTTCACAAAGAAAATAAAGTGACCAATGAACTGATCTTTTCCAGTAATGCTTATGATACAAATTGCCATAGTGATAAAATTTTCAGAAAAAAGCAAAAGACAAGACATTGTTTGATGAGTGGAGGAACAAGGGATTGAAAATAAGTCTGGAAATATTAAATACAGGATTTTTGAAGCCAAGGGAAAAAAAGTATACTAAATCAGTAAACAAAATCAACAAAAAATGTGAAGAATTATATGAGGACAGTATAGATTCAGTTCTTCTGTGTTGTATGTTTAAGGGGAACACTAGTCATGTTGAACGGAATTTTTTTTTTTTTTTTTTTACTGGCCTAAAGAGAGCTAGAATTAAGACAAAGTCCTTAGAAAGAGAACTTCCTCTTTCTTAAGGACTTTTTCTTCCTTTCTTTAAAAAGTCCTTCTGGAAAAGGTCTTTAATGACTGGCCTGGTGGTTGCAGGGGAGAGTAACAGATATTGTCTGCCTCAACTTCAGTGAGGCATTTGACCCTGTGTTCAGAGAAGCTAAAGTATAGACTGAATAAGCCAACAGTGAGGTGAATTTAAAACTGTCTAAACCACTGGGCCCAGAGAGTGATGATCAGTGGTGCAAAGTGTAGTTGGAGGCAGTAAATATCAATGTGCTCCAGGGGTCAATACTAGGTCCAACTCTGTTTAATATTTTCATTAATGATCTGGATGATGGGACAAGAGTGTACCCTCAGCAAGTTTTCAGCTTGGAGGAGTGGCTGCTACACCAGAGGGTCTTGCTGCCATCAGGAGGGACCTTGACAGGCTGGAGAAGTGGTCTTTAAACAACGTTTAGATGTAGAGCTAAGTGATATGGTTTAGTGGAAGACTTGTTAGTGTTAGGTCAGAGGTTGGGCTCGGTGATTTTGGAGATCTCTTCCAACCTAGATGATTCTGTGATTCTGTATGATAGGAACATCGTGAAGTTCAGCAAAGAAAAGTGGAGTCATGAATCTGGGTAGGAACAGCCCCATTTGAATCACTAATTAGCATTCACTGCTTTTGAGGTTTCAAGACTATTTCCTTGTGTTCTTCTCCTACAACTGCTTTTAAATTTGAATTTTCTTGTACAAAAACATGGACATAGGTGACATTAAAACTCTTACGATGCATCAAAAGAAGTTTACAGAAGAAGGATTTTAATTGAAATTACATTAAGGTAATAAATACAGACAATGCCGTGGAGGTGAGAATTAGAGGATTTCATGATGTTAGGGGAAATTAATTATAAAAGATGAATCCAAAGTGATGCAAGAACCAGGGTCATATTGGAGGTGATTTCCAAATCTCTACTGAAAAGGGGAAGCTTGTAAATGTTTATGAATTTAATTATCTGTTATCTAAACTAAACACCTCTGCTTATGAGATATTTAGGCTTTGCAAAGTTAGGAACCAGACATGCAAAACTGGTAGAATCTGTAATTGAAAGTAACTGAAAAGAGAATAAATGAGTGGTTTTTCAATACCAACCAAATCACTGATGATGTGAATTGAGGATAGTAGGCAGTAAATTCAAAGTAAATTCACTTTGTTGTTTTTGTTGTTACTGATAAGTCATTTCTTCATTTGGTTTTGTCACTTGTTGCATGAGACTGACTTATGAATTTGATATATAATTTTTAAATATAAAGGTAGATGATCAGTCTCTTAAGTTGCTGAGAGGAGCCAGGTGATCTGCTCCAACTCAGGTCCCTTTTTCACTGAAGAATAATTTGCATGAATAAAATCAATACAGAACGCTGGGTTCCATAGGTACTTGGAGTAATCTGCAATATATTTGTATACGGCTACATCAGGTTATATCTTATATTTCAGTTTTCATTTTTTGCTGTCATTGTGCTACCATACAGTTATATCTTTGTCTTACTATAACCTTATGCATTTGTAGTAAAATCTACTGTCGTGGTTTAACCTGGCCAGCAGCTAAACACCACACAGCTGTTCGCTCACCCTCCCCCCTCCCTCTCTGGGACGGGGGAGAGAAATGGAAAGTGAAGCCCATGAGTTGAGATAAAGACAGTTTAATAAGACAGGAAAATAATAATAACAATAACAATAATAACAATAATAACAAGAAGAAGAATACAATGATGATAATAGTACTACTACTAATAATATGTACAAACAAGTGATGCACAATGCAATTGCTCACCACCAGCTGACCGTTGCCCAGCCTCACCCCGAGCAGTCCGGCCCCCTCCCCCCGGCTAGCCACCCCTATGTATTGTTTAGCATGACGTCAGATGGTATGGAATACCCCTTTGGCTAGTTTGGGTCACCTGTCCTGGGTCTGTCCCCTCCCAGCTCTTACTGCACCCCCAGCCTGCCTGTTGGCAGGACAGAGCAAGAAGCTGAGATGTCCTTGGCTTGGTATAAGCACTGCTCTGCAACAATTAAAACATCAGGGTGTTATCAGCACTCTTCTCATCCCAAGCCAAAACACAGCATTCCACCAGCTACTAGGAAGAAAATCAACTCTGTTCTAACTGAAACCAGGACATCTACTAACTCAAGTTTTGTATGGTTACCAATGCATCATTAAGTTCACTTTCTAAAGTAGACTTAAAGTAGGATATGAAATGACCCTTCCCTGAAAGAGTATTGCTAAATAATATAATTTTTGTCTTCAGTACAGAAGGTACAGCCTTACAATGTCCTCATCTTTGGAACAACAAGCTTCCACCTCAGCTTTAAATCAACTGACTGCTTCTAGTTGTTATACAAAACATCATCTTCCATCACAACCTTTCATTTATACTAGACATCTATAACTTTTACAACTGGATACAAGTATCAGCTGAAAATGGCTAAATAGAGCTAGAAAGTGGCAAAATGTCATCTAAATTATATAATGGTAATAGTCATTTTCTGAACTTACTTCAAAGAGGTACTAATGGAGGCTTAGCTTTCCCCTAAGCAGTTTTCTTTTGCACAGGTATCGTTACAGTTTTTCATAAAAAATGAATTTTTCTTATGACTCATCAGAGTAGAATGACTGATATTTCTGAGTTCATTGTTAAAAACAGGATTTCTCAATTGCAGGCTGCACACCTCAAGTAGAATGCAAACCACTTGCAGGAATGGCTTGCATTTCATCAGAGGCATCAAAGACTGAGGGAGTGCATCTGAAATCTGAGAATCCCTGTAGCTACCGTTACTATTCTGGGGTAACAAAAAATAGCAGGCTACATAGAAAAAAACTAAATGGACTTGAAACCAAAACAAATGTGAGGCTATCTATAGCTGAATAAAGCTATAGAAGGACTCTAATGATAAAAACATGTAAACCAAAACTTCTTGTCTTGCTGTCAATTAGTAAAAAATATTATTTTAAAACATACTAGCGACTACTACCTTGTTATACACATCTAACATTCAATATAGTCTTCAGGTACTCAAAAATATGCATCATACACACATATATATATAAACATTTAGCTTTTTCTT